CCTCAGCCTCCCAAAGGCGTGGGATTACAGGCTGAGCCACCGAGCCCGGCTGGTTCTAACCTTTTTAAAGGTACCACCTAATGCAGTCAAAATAGCACTACACTTTTATTTTTTTCAATTATATTAAATCTGTTATCTTTAGAATAAGCAGCTGTGGTCTTAGGAAGATTGCCACAAGCTGTGTGACTAAGAAAAAAGCTGAAGATATGATAGACTTAGAAGAAATATGTTTCTGAAGTTGAATATAAAATTAAAGTATTTTAAGCTCAGAGGCTTGTATCACATCTCTGCTTATTAAATGTCATGTTGCTACCTAATAAGGCTTTTAAAAATTAAAAATAGAACTTAGGGTGATAGAGTTCTAAAGTAATAGAAAAAAATATATGTCAGAAAGCAGGCCATTACTACTTAAGATAGTCTCAAAAGTTAGTAGCTTTGTGTTTAAAAAATATCCCAAGAAGAATTCAGTTAGAGTAAAATATTTGTCTAAAACTTAATTGTTTTATCTTAACTTTTTCCTTCTATACCACAGGCATCTTATGAATAATTTTACTTTTGGGAAATTTTCTGTTTTCCAAACTTAAGCTATAAGAATAGAGGAATACAGAAAGTTTTATTTCAATGTATGAATTTTTCTTTTTTACGTCTCATTAAGAACTCATTGATATCTTGATGTTACTTGGGCAGCATATAACCCTCATTGCAAAAATTTTGTTAGTCTTGGATTTTTTTCGTTCTTTCTTGATTACTACTGTGCTGTGAACTGCTTCCACATTTTAGTTATTTTGCTGCTTTTAAAACAAAATTCCATTGGTGGGAAGTTTCTAAGATTCATAGTTCTTTATATGTTCACAGTATTTGGTATAAATAGGAGTGCCAACCAGCTTCTAAAACAGGTGGTGGTGAACTGTGCCCTCAGCTTTGCAAACATGGTCCTCTAATTCTAAACATGTGAAATTTATCTGGTTCGAACCACCTCACCTATAATCATTAACAATATTTAAGAGTGACCCTGCTAATCCTCTTATGAACTCTGAGGTCCAAGTTTTCATTGTAGTACCTATTGTTTTGTTCATTGTTCTACTATAATTGCATCAATTTTGCCAAAGCACACCATGTACTGTCGTCAAATTGTCTACATGTATAAAAGCAATAATCAGATCTACATGCTGTATTAAAGTTCTATTTCCATTGTTCTACCAAACAGGCGAATCGTATTGTTTCTGTAAGCTCTTAGCTTTATCAAAATTATTCCAAACAGACCCTAAGAAAAATCTGTGCTCTAACTTCCATACTATGGAAAGGTGTCCATGATCCAAACACTTAGATGCATACTCTTCAGTGGAGCAAAGGCTATAATCTCTAAAACATTTATAAAGCTGTTCCATGCTGTTAAAATTATTGTACTAAAGTCTTACTTGTCCTAGTGTAGAGATGACTCCATGACATTTTGCAGGAAGTTTTTTCACATTTCTATAATTAGAGAACTATCATACAATTTGAAGAACTACTCTTATTGCACAATGCACTCACTATCACACTATTTTGTATCCTCACGTTGCTCTTCCTAGTGGATAGCGCCTCAATGCTGCACCTCTTGCTGAAATATGAATGCACTCTACAATCTTCTTAGAATGCTCTGTGATAGAGAAGGACTGGTTTTGCACACCTCTAGACAACTCATGCTCTTAACCAGTCCCTCCAACACACATAGATCTCTGCTAAAGCGCAGCTTGCCTCGGCTGGCTGTAGATTTCACAAACCAAAGCCTAAATAAAGGAACAGTGTGGCTGCTGTAGCACCTCCACTCCCTGCTCAGTACAGGAATTCTTTAATAAGCACATGTGTAGTACAGGACAGTAGTACATTCCCTCCCTGTGTTCTAACGCTGAGATACATCTTTCTCCTTGCACAATGGATCTCAATTCAAAAAAGAGGAAACATAGTAAGAAAAGCACAGCTTTTTATTTTCGGAGATGGACAATAGGCAAGTACCCTGTGTTTTTACCTGTCACTTTCCATGCCAAAAGTCCAAACGCAAAGTGTCACACATGCACGGGTCTTTTCTTAGATAAATTGTTTACTAGTCCACTTACCAACAACAAAAAGTGCTTTATATCGTGCCCCCCAAAATATAATCTACCCTCCTAAAAATGGAGACCTTTGACTGCCAGAAAGATATCTTCAGCTAGCTTTGCTTTGCTAGCTAGTTTGTACTTGAAGTAAAACCGTCACCACCCACTCCCCATTCAAGCCGAGATTTAAAAAGGCAGGCAAACTGAAAGGAACCACGAGTCAGTTCGTCCCTATCAGAAAACACAGCGATAAGTACAAATCACAATGCTGAGGAAAGGCTTGACTACTCGAAGACCATCTCCTCAGGACAAGAGGAGCGATATGGAGCCATTTTTCACTAGGTTCACAAGAAAATGTCAGCTCACAGCTGCTAGTGCACTGCCAGAGCGCATCTTAATTTGGTCCAAAGGGACCTAGCCAGTCACCCTCACAGAGCATTTCCTTAAAGAGTCCATTACAAATGTGATTCCTTTAGTTCTGAGCATCTTCTTTGGCAATCGCATGGCACAGATCTGCAGCCTATTCAAAACTAAATGCTTTCCCCCATTTCCTCTTAAAATCATGTGAATCAGACACTTCTGAGTCAAAGGAGAAAAAAGAGGAAGAGAAAAAAGCAGCTCTTCCCACTCCCCACCCTTCTCAAGCTTCTTGACTAATACCTCTGGGCAGTTTACTTTAGAATAGAGCAGATTCTTTACCAGGGCACAATGGCAAATTGGCATACTAGCCTCTTGCTATCACGGAAAACACAGGCAATGCTTTCTTTGTAAAAACACAGGAAAATACACAGGCTGGAACAAAAGACACTCTATCTGCACAGCAAGAAACAAGAGAAATCATGTGTTTGTTTTATACTCGTCTGTACCCACTCGTTTAAAAAGGCTTTGAACATGTTTTAATTATGACATATTGTATTCGTTTCCAAACCAGGTCCCAATGAATTTAATTTTTTAAGCTTTAGCTCCAATAGGAGGAAAAACACACTCATCTGGAAGAATACCTGGTGTGTGCCTTTGTTGATGGGGTACCATTTCAAACTTATTATATTTGAATTCAATTATGTGGGAAATTAAGATAAGGCAAATACAGTTGGCTCTCTGAATGATTCTGGCATTACAAGAAATGCCAAGTCAGCAGATATTTGCTGTTTACATTTCACAATAACCTAATCATGCATTTGCAGCCTTCTGGAGCAAAATGCTAACTATTCTCCAAACAGCCACCTGACAATCTAGGGCTGAAACACACGTTCTGACTCAGAAGGAGACATCATGATGGCTCTCCATTGCCTGTATTAAACAAAAGCTCCGCAAGCAAACGAGAGGCATTTGGTAAATGAAGTGAGAGTCGAATTAAGTTTAGGTTCACATCTGGTGGAATATGGCACTGCCTTATCCAGGATTGGGGAGCAGAAGGGTTTGGAGGCTATAAATAGAACACACACACACATACATATAGATATTTAAGCCAGACCCGGGTCAGTTTCAGCTTACTAACCTAGAGCTCTGTTCAAAGGAAGCAGAGAAGCCGCACGTCCTCTCCCACCTTTCCATGGTCCTCAGTCAGTGTCTTCTCAAACCACCTGTACTGATCCAACCCATTCTCAGATAAAAATAATTTTCTTGATAGAAGTAGTCTCAGTTGAGCTTTGATTTTTTCAACATGGATGTCTAGAATTCTCCTCTTTAAGCCAGACACAGCAATACAAAACTGCCGCTGAGGTCTTTTGTTTTCCCTCCTCTCAAAGATGAAGCATGCAGCACTTCTCTCTCTCTCTCTCTCTGCCTCTCTCTCTCTCTCTTTCTCTCTCTCTCTCTCTCCCTCCCCCTCTCTGTCTCCCCCTCTCCCTCTCCTTCTGTCTCCTTCTCTCTCCCTCTCCCCTCTCTCGCTTTTGCTCTCCCTCCGTTTCTCTTTCCCCAACCCCCACCAACAACCTCGCTCGATTCCCGGTCAGTCAGGGGCATTTACATCTCTCAGCATGAGAACCTGTGTTGTATGCGCGCCTGTCTCTCACTTTTGGGTTTCCTCTGGGAAAGGGAGGGGGGCGGCTCTAGGTGAAGTCAGGTGACCTCTCCGTTAAAAGCCAGAGAGATGGATGGAGTGTGTGAATTTTAATATACACACAGGCGCATTTACATTACAAAGCAGCGAGGAAAATCTAGCTCCTTGAGATTAAGCGTTTTTTTTGTTTTTGCTTTCATAGTCCCCTTTTAGCAATTAGGAGAAGATAGTATAGTATAATGAAATGTAATTAAACTTTTCAGTGTTAATAACAAGGCTGCATCCTTTCAGAATCATCCAACTGAACAATTCTTTTAAACTTGTAAGCATGACATACTTTTTTTTTGAGGGTCAAAGAATTAGTCATTTTACTATCTACATACTTTTTCTAATTGGTCTTGTATTTGACATCCAGTTCAACTTATCCTAAAGTTAAAGAGCATTATTAAAGACAATTAATAATAATAATGTGAAAGGAAAAAAAAAGGGACAAAACACCAGAGCACATAGCATGGGTAGAAATCAATAGTTTCCAATTGTGGAACTCGATTCAATAATGAGTAACTTTTTGCTCCAAGGCAAATAACTTTTCTCTGTTTCAGTGTCTCTGTCTTAAATAGAAAATAAATGGAACAAAAGTAGCAAGTATCCCTCTCCTATCCCCCCTATTGCCCAATCAAGCAAGCCTGGCAGAGAAGGATGTCCAGGTTGCAAGAACACACAACATCCCAGATACAGAAGCACCTGAAAAAAACTTGTGCTAACTTAGTACAATACTGAAGATAAATTTATAGTCTACAAACCTTGGCCTTAAAGGGTAAATTGAACACTATCTTCTTCTTTGTTGCAGAGTTTTGATATCTAATGGAGAGCATCTCTATCTCTCCTATTAAATAGAAAAGATATGTCATCTGCCCTTAGGAACATTGCAAAGAAAAAATGAGATAATCTCCATAAACGACTTTGAGCACTCAGATAAAAAGTGTTTTCTAAAGCTAAAGGACAAGTAATTAGAATGAGGACCAACAAGTCTGCTGAGAACAAGCTTCAGAAGAAGACTCTCTTATTTGGCGTTTGGTATTCCACCATAGATTCTTAATTCAAGAGCATGGTGATACTGGTGTAGTGGTGCCTCAGCAAAAGAGGAAAATAGAAGAGCAGACACAGAATCACATTATTCCTGCCACAGAAGATAACATTTCGAACTCTCACACAAACAGCCTCTCCCTCGCTCCAGAATGATGTCAGGAAAGTACTATATTTGCTGTTAGGACTGAGCCCTCCAGCTGAAAGACACCCGGTCCCCACCATAAACACTACTCAGGGTAGACATAAAAGGAGTAACAACTATTCACTGCTCTTGCTTGTTTTATATTTTAAAAGCTTTACCTTGCATGGAAAAGATCCCATTTAAGCTTTTAAAATAAATTATATGCTAACTGGCTGCAAATTTAACTTCAGTTTGTGCTACAAAAATTGGCACCAAAACATTGGACAATAAAAAAATCTTCCCTCGAAAAGTAAGTTGGCTTAGGCAAATTTAGAAAGATCTAAAATTTTATAGGATGAAAACATAAAGGATTTGACTTTATAGCTTTTTATAAACAAATTAGCTGCTCTTTCACCTTTTATTTTTCCCTCTGGCATTGGGTTTCCTCACTTTGCATTTATTCAGTTTTGTTTTTTTCTACTGCACCCCCTGGCTTTTCTTCTTTTGGCCATCAAATCACTTTTCATTGAATGAGCAAAATGATGGTGATTATAGAGAGTAAGAAAAGACATCTTACTTTATACCAGATAATTTGTGGACTTCAACCCAAACACTAGTGCATGGTAGCTTTCAAAGTCTGTGCTATTCTAACACAGAGGTATGATGAACATGGAATATGGACTGCATATTTTTATTATTAAAATCACAGGTCTTGATTTCATGAGGCCTATTAAAGCTCACCAATGCCATGTCACTTTAAAAAATAAATGAAGCCGGGCTCGGTGGCTCAGCCTGTAATCCCGCGCCTTTGGGAGGCTGAGGTGAGTGGATTACCTGAGCCCGCGGGTTCGAGACCCGCCTGGGCAGCGAGACCTCATCTCTACAATAAATCAAAAAATCAGCTGGGTGTGGTAGCGCATGCCTGTAATTCCGGCTACTCGAAAGGCTGAGGAGGAAGGATCGCAGGAGCCCAGCAGGTCGAGGCTGCGGTGGCCGGGAGCGACCACTGCACTCCAGTCTGGGCAACATAGTGAGACTCCAACTCAAAAAAAAAAAAAAAAAAAAAAGAAAATAATTTAGCAAAAAGAATCATAGCAACTAACTCCAGCCAACTTTCCAAAATGTCTTCAATTACTCAAAGAACCATATAATGCTGACATAAAGTAGAATAAATCTTTACTCATGCACTCATTTATTCAACTAATGTCCATTGAGCACTTCCTTTGTGATAAGCACTTATACTAAGCACTGAGGGGTAAAAGATAAATAAAACAAATTTTTTTCCATAAACTCAAAATATGTACCACTAACAAGCAATTGATGTTAGTTCAAAGTACTATGGAAAGCCAAACAAGGGAGAAAAATTCTCCTTAATGAGAGGCAGGACAGTTACATAGAATAGGTGATCCTTGAACTGAGCCTTTAAGAGTCTTTCAGTTTTCTAGGGGAAAAAAAAGCAAAAACAAAGGCATTTCAGGCAAAGAGTATGAACCAACATAAAGACATTTGCAGTGAAGTCTGGCTGGACTAAAGGAACTTCAGTCATTTGAAAGGTAGACTGGAATAGACTGTGAATGATCTTGAATGCTCTTCCCAAGTATTTGTGCTTCATGTGAGATGCAGTGGCAAGCTATTTGGCTAGTAAATTACATGCTTTACAAAGGTTATTTTGGCAGCAATGTGAAGGGTGGATTAGAGCAGTGTTTTCCAAACTTTCCTAATTATAAGAATTACCTGAAAGCAATACTAGAAACATAGATTCCTGGGTTCCACTTCAAATCTAGATGAGAGGTCCAGAAATATCTATTTTTAACAAGAATCACAGGTAATTATTATCATCACACAATTTCTGGATACACTGGTTTTGTAGTGGTCCATAACCATGGCTTTGTATTGGAATCAACTATAAAGCTTTTAAACGGTCAAATCCAGGTCACCTCTGAACCACTTATATCAGAATATCTGGGGATAGAACCCAGAAATTGTTTTTATTCTAATCTCCCAAGGTGATTACAGTGCAGCCAACACTAGGAATCACTGCTTTGAAGAGAGGAGTGATAGCAAAAACATCATTTAAAAGCTGTTGTAGATGATCTTTGGTTGAAACAACAGAATCCAGCTTGTTCAAGTAATTGGTCATTATGCCTAAAAAAAGAAAAAAAAAAGGGCAATATCACAGACACAGGAAATCCAGTGTCACCAAACCTCACAGGAACTGGGACTAAGAAGCCACTAAGAACCAAGCATTCCCTTCTTTCTGCCTCTCAGCGGATGTGTAATCTCCTTCTTCTTTGATTCTTCCTGTCTCCTGTTTTAAACCAGCTTCCTTTTCTTACACATGATCCAATATGGCATCCTCTCTGGACAGAAAATTGCAATTTCTGTGGTCTCGTCAGTCAATTCATGAGTCAGTAGGCAAAGACTGGATTGGTTGGGCTGGTTTTCTTAGTGCATCACTGATCTCATCAGTTTTAGCCAGAATGATCACACGGCCACATTCATTTTGCAGAGGCTCTGTACAAAGATTTTTTTGAGAAGCAGGGAAGACACACCTAAACATGTTGAATACAGAAACAACAATTCAAGCAAGAGATGCTTAGGAAAGCTTGAGAAGGCCACTGAAGAAGAGACTAAAAGGTCCCAGATGCTTTTCAGAGGTGGAACTCACAGAACCTGGATACTAATTGGATATGATTGTTTGGAAAAGAGTCACAGCTGAAGAATAAATATATCTTCATCTACTGCAGGTGCCACATTATAATGCAGACACCACTAAGGATTTATTGCTTTGACAAGTCAGTAGAGGATATATATCTGGTTTTGAACTCTACACTTAAGAAATACAAAAAAGCCTAAAGGTCAAAGAAATACCAAAAATTAATAAGAAAAATTAGACATATAGGTCCTATATATACCCCCAAGATCATTATTAAGTCATATGAAAGACTGGCTTCTTTACACTTAAAGAAGAGATTTGTACATAAAGGTTGAGAGTCCCTATCAGAACCAGATATGATAAATGTACTTATTTTGCACCATGAAATATTAAATTATTTATAATAGTCTATGTAATCTCATTCTTATTTTATCTTATGTGAAAACTTTTCTCAGGCTGAACTTACCTCTTATTATCTCTATTTCTTGCTCACACCAGGGTCTTTTTCAGAGTCGTGCCTTTGATTCCCCTTCCTATAATGACCTCCTCTTTCTTTTCTCCATCTATACTTTAGCTATCTTTCAAGGACTTCCTGCTAGCATTGTGCATATGAATCCATTCCCTCTCTTGACTAGGTGACACTTAAGGTATATACCTATTACAATAGCAACAGCAGGAATAATAATACTAATATCAACTTCTCATATTAGTGCTAAAGGATTTAGCTTTTTTAATTCTCACAATAACTCTGTGAGGAACTATTATCACCACTTAACCACTGAGGAAAGTGAAGTCTGGAGAAACTAAATAATTTATCAAAGGTCAGGAAACTAAAAAATGGAAGTTTCTGGGTTAAGACCCAAGGTAGTCTGTGCTATACGATTAATATCA